GGTAGAGCTCAAAGGGTAATAATGAATGGGGGATGTGTCTGTCTGGTGGACAGTTAATAGTGGTCTTACCCACAGTTCAATTCTAGCTGTTTTTGTTCAACATTTTTATTAATTATCTGGAGTCCTAACTTTGATGGATTCAGCAACTGCCTTAGCAGTATCTTTTTTTTTTTTTCCTTGTGTTCCTTATTTTAGTAATTCCTAATAGCACAATGAGCTCCGTGTCACTGAACTGGCCTGATATTCTTTTCTTTTTTTTTTGGCATCAGTTCTGGAGGTTTTTAGGTATGGGAGTATTTGACTAGTGCACATGACTGTGTATTTCCTGGACTGAATTCCACCTGTGGAATTTGGATGCTTGTTTATTAAATTTTGAGTCATCTTTTTGTGAGAATTTCATTATTTTATTACTCTGAATTAATTGTATATCATCAGAAAACTATTCACCACCTTTTTTAGACTGTGAAAAGCTCTGCACATCACAGGTTTCAGCAACAGCTCTTTGTAGAATTTAATTAATAATATCTAAATTATAAAATATATTTAAAATAACTTTCTACTTTTTTTTTCTTTTTTTGTTTTTTTTTTTCTTCTTTCTCTGAAACCTCTATGAAACCAATTCAAGCATGTGTTCTGAAGTTCAATGCTTGGGTGGTACTCACAACTTAATGGTTTATTGAAATGGATGGCTTGTGATTGCACATGGTCAACAAATATAAAGGTCTGTAATTTTTCAGACATTTAGGATATGAATGTGCCAGAGCTGTGGCCGAAGATTTGATTTAAGGAAATACATAAGAATACATAGCTTTTTTCATCCAAGGCACCAATGCCTGTGTACCTCAAAGCACTTTTTCTCTTGATAGCCCTTTGGCATAGGGCATGCTCTTTCTTAAATCAAACCTATTAACTCTATAGCAAAACCAATAGACTTAATCAATTCATTGCAAAACACAAGGAGCTTAGGGAAAATAAATCGAAGCTCCTCACTGAAAACATATATAAAAGATTGAATATACTGGCACTGTCTTTTATTTTAAATAATTTTGGAGAGTATCAAACTCTCTGTTTCAGAGTTTGTGGAATATTTGGCTGCTACAGAACATTAAAATCATGAGCAAATAAAATGGTTCTGCAATGTATCTTGATGCATTTGACATTATGAATCAGAGTCATCTGTGAAAACATTATTGCTTAGAATTAGTTTTGCTGGTGAATAAAACCCCAAAACAAAGACAGAAAGAATTAGCAACATCTTCAAGTGACATTGGTTAAAAAAAAAAAAGCATCCAAATAAGGCATTTTTCAGAATTTCCAAGTATGTATTTTATTTAAGAATGAACACACACTCATAGGCATCTGAACTTATTTATTCTTCTTGCATGTTAAGAACTTCAGAGAATTGTCCAGTTTCACCTCAAATAGTACAATACTTCAAATATTGAAAACTGAGGAACTGTTCACATAGGGTATCTCTGTAATTCTCTTCCCTGCTCAACCTCTGAATTATGTTTTGTTATATACTTTCAGCAGTAGGAAAATTGATGATATGGGGCTGTGGGTTTTGTTCTTGTTTATTTTTGGTGTTTTTTGTGGGCTTTTTTTTTTTTTTTTTGGTGGTGATCTTTATTGCACAACGGCTGCAATGCTAAAATACTAAAATACTGTACTCTTCCTCTCTCCACAATACCAAACCCCAGAAGACTTGGCTGTTAATTCTAAACAAGTATTGTAGGACTGCCTTAAAATATTTCTGCTCTTAAATGACGGGAGGGAACTAAATAATGTGCTCCTGGGTGCCAAGAATTCCCACACAGCTGTGCTATGACTGGAGCTATGAGCATGTTATCTCTGAAGGTTTGTAGAGTGGATTCTGTGGCTTATATTTTGGCTTCAGTACACACAGTATGTATTGTATTTCCTAAGTAATATTGCCTTAGCGTTACATTACCTGCAATAAGCAAGTCTGGTGTTCTTTTACAAAGACTATAAAAGAAAACCCAACATCCTGTTATCATTTTCATTCCAAATCAGATCCTTATCCCTAGTAAAGCTGGAGTGGGCTGTGTAGTAATCCATTAAACACTGAAACTCATTTAATGTTGACTGCAGGATCCTTAAGTTTTCTTACAGCCTTGAAACAAGCATAATGCAAACGTGGCATCTACTCCATGGCCTGAAATTACTCATCTTAGAAAGTTTTATTTAAAAAAATTATGCATTACTATTTACAATACAGTTGTTAAGATTCCTAGGAAAAACAGATTGTCATTTAACAACATTTTCTGAAGAGGCAATGACAGCTCCAGAGCCCTGCACACAGCAGAGCATCTCTGTAGTCTGTACACATCAGTAGGGAAGTGAAATGAAATCTATTCAGTTTACAGAGAATGCAAATGCAAAGGCCTGTCATGGCCTTCTTTATTTGAAAATTCATAAGTTCATGTGTATACTCTTTATCCTTGGTTATGACCTATATTATTTACTCACATTTTGGCAACTCTTTTGTCCCTTTTTTTATTTTATTCCACAAAGGCCAAGCATTTCACTTGGATTATCAAGCAATTTATCTTCAAGAAGTGCTATATGAGGAAGAGATGTTAATCTCAGATAATGTTATTGCAAATACTGGTGCTAGCTAATAAAAGAATGTAATAAAACATGGATATCTGCAAGGAAGAACAATTTAGGTATCATTAAAACTTTTCATTTAAATACAATCACTTTCATTAGTTTTTATTAGATTATAAAAATAATACATACCGTTATTATATTCTTACACAATCTAATGAACATAATCCAAACAACCCAGAAACAGAAAGTAATATGTTCTTCAAATGGGAAGCTTTGACCTTTTCCCTTCGTAACTGAGCAGGGTCACTTAAACTGGTGCATTTTGTCCTTTTTTTTTTTTTTTTTTTTTTTTTAAATATGGATTTAATAAATAGATAAGTAAATAAATTGAAGCACTTTGACCAGCTCTCAATCCTATCTGCATTCTACTACAATACCATTAGCTCTTAAATCCACTGCTATAATACATGTGAATGTCATACGTGACTATTAGAGGGAAAAAAAATTGTGATTGCATTCTTTATCTTTGCTTCCATGAACGTTTCTATATTGCATATATATATTTTGTTAGCATGAGGGAATGCTGTGGTGCAAATATGTTCTTGCATTGTGTGCCTTATGCATCCCTGGCATTGGGTACCTACTGCAGACACAGAATTCTGGGGAAACTCATGCAATTTGTGCTCCTCCTACATAGCAAAACTAATATCAGTTTGTTGTGATCCAACCCTTCTCCATCTTTTTTCTGTACTTTTTAATTCATTTTAAATTCATCTTTACTTCATCCTTTTATGTCATCAAAAATAACAGGTAAAGCAATCAAGTACCATGAAAGCTGAGAACTACTCATAAATTACAACTAATTTCTGATAATAGTGACCAATAATGACCAAAAAAAAAAACATTTGGAAACTTTTGCATTGATGTTTTTAGACAACTATGTATTGATATCCAATTTTCTCTGCAGCCTGAGCATAAAGATTTTCAAACAGGAAAATGTGGTAAAAAGAATAAATGAAAGCATGAGTATTTATGTTTATACATAAAAATAAATAAATGACAAATAGTTATAAAGAAATATACAAGAATATAAGGATTTCACTAGCTGGTCAGCGTGCATCATTTTAACACTGCAATAATATCCTTAAGGCAAGGACCACACATCTCACAGCTGTTTCATCTGCTGAGTGAACAAAATCCCAGACATAATGAAAAAAAAAAAAAAAAAACAGCACAAAAGTCTTAACTTGCTATTTAAAGACTTTTATTCTAATTTTTAAAAAAATTGCCCATGTTTCAGCATTTGTTAATCTAAAATAAGTGAATGATAACATGGAGACAAAAGAGACCTTTTTGATACCACATGTTAACATCTGAAAAATTTGAAGAATTTTTTTGTATGGCCAACTAAATATCTCTTCTAATTACCTGTGTTTATAGGTTTTGTCCTATTTGATTTGGACAGGATTTTATATATCTGAATATAAATATCTTGTATTCTTTATTAGTTTGTCTGCTGGGTACACAAACAGAAAATATGGATTTCCAGTCCAGATTATTTGTTTAAAAAAAAAAAACATGGAAAAAAAAAACCCTGGAAGTAGAGAGGCAACACATGAAGGAAGATTGTTCCACTGCTATTAGTGGATGTATGCCTCAAGTCTCTATAAAAAAGGGTGGTTACTTGCTATTAACTGGCTATTCTCTTTTTATCCATATTCATACTCACACTGTGCAAGTGAGTATTTCCTTGCACTGAAACCAGAGAAATTCCGCTACTTCTCTCGTGCCCTAAATGCCAACAGGCACAGCCCATAACCAACTTCTCTTGCAGTATTATAGTATGTAATTCACTACAAAATGAAGAGAGATTAGCAAGAGAGAGGAAAAAAAAAGGGTTGAAGTGTAAATATGCATGTGGGCAGCCTTCCTTAGGAAATGTCACAACACTGCTTTCACAGCTGAGTCACCATCAAGGTAAAGCTTGTTAATCTGAGGCTCTGCCTGAGGCTAAGCTGATGAATCTGCGCAGATGAAAGTATTCTTCAGTTTCTTCTTCTTCTTACTGATCTCTGAAGTGAAACATACATTTTCCATGTATATATTCTTCCACAAGAAAGAAAAAGCACCTGGCGAATCTGCCCTTTAGGAAATGCCATGAAAATAAGAGAATTTGTGATTTTAACTGGGGAAGGCATGAGAAGCAATGCCAAAAACAAAAGAAAAGGGAAAAAAGATGGATGTATGGGAACTGCTGAGTCACGGCCTGAACCTCTGATTAATCACCTGAGGCGAGCCATGAGTCAGCCAGAGGAGCACAGGTGAAGGCAATTCACTGTGCTGCCGGAAGGGGTGGAGCCAGGCTCCATCCCTCCTAGACCTATTTAAGAGCTGGCTACCAGAGGGGAAGGATCTCTTCTGGAGATCGCCTCTTGGTGTTTTGTGGTGAGCTCAGCCGAAGGGTAAGCTCTTCCACCTATTCTCTTTTTGTGATTGTTGTCTATTTTGCCTAACTCTCTTGATTATATTGTGATTATAGCATCTTGATATCTATTGATTATACAATGGACCATAGAGGAAAAAAATCAGCTCAGTCATATGGCTGAAGACAGAACCATACACTTCACATTTCATGGAGAGTAGATAAGTGAGCTCACTCCAGTGTATCTTCTGGGAGAACATCTCTCTCTGGAGGCACTAGCTGGTCTGCGAATACAAACTCTAGTCACTCAGAGACAACGTTTCTTATGCAAAAGAACTTTTGTGTTCAGATTTTTCTTTACTTCATCAATTAATTGAGATGGTTTACTGTACACGTAGGTGTATATACTCATCAGGAAGAAGATATTAATAAGCATGTGCTAATTACATTGCACTGTGCAGTGTTGACAAGTGTGAACATTTAAGTGCCAAGCTGTCCTCATCCATAACAGATTCGATCAATATTTCAGTTTTATTAAGAGATAAGTGAACTCTTCCAGGCAGAATCTCATTACAATGCAGGGACTCTAATCAACATCTGCAGACATGGTTGTACGGATCTGGAGTGATAAAATGTTGTGGTTCAACCCGGCAGGTGGCTCAGCACCACACAGTTGTTTGCTCATTCCCCCTCTTACCAATGGGATGGGGAAGAGAATTGAAAGCAAAAGAAAAAGCAGAACTCATGGGTTGAGAGAAAACTGTTTGAGAAAACAAAAAAAGCATGCTCCTTCCTCATGTTCATGTCCCTAGGAATATGTTGCCTGCAAGAGATGATAATATTGCTGGGAGCCACACAAAATTAAAAATTAAAACTAGAAGTGATAGGGAGAGCAAGAACTGATGTTGTCTACAAGGTTTTCTTTAAATAATACTGTTGCCCACAGGCCAGTGAGCGCTGGGGATTGCTTCTCAGAACTATGAGGCAGGCAAGTGCTCTGCTTGATTTGTAACAGTGAAAAGACCTTTTCAGTTGGAGTTCAGTTGTAAAAATTAGCAATATACCAATCAGAAATTTGTCCCGAAGCAGTTATAAGAAGCTCCTTTGTATGATATGAGTATTTAACTATACTAATATATATATATCACCATTTCTACTTGAAATAAATCTGTATCTAAAGATGCTCAGGGCTTGTCTACTATGAGGGATACTCTGAAAGTAATACCTCCTATGCTATGATGTTAGCTCACTATGTCAGAGATGGATGTTGGTGGCATGACAGCATAGGCTGAACCTTCCCACTGATATCCTACTACATATTGCTGCTGTGTGACAGATGGCAGCAGCTGGGCAGTCTGACAAAATGTATTATTAATGCATTTGAATTGCATATAATTGAATATTTATTCAATATTATATATTGAGTATTCAATATATTTATTATCGAATATTTATCATACTAGTTTATGCAAAGTAATTTTCTTCTCCTTTATGGAGCTCAGATCACAGAATCACCCGGGTTGGAAGGGACCCCAAGGATCATGTAGTTCCAACCCCCCTGCCTAGCAGGGCCACCAAACATACACATTCAGATCAGGTTGCCCAGGACCCCGTCCAACCTGGCCTTGAACACGTCCAAGGACGGGGCATCCACAGCCTCCCTGGGCAGCCCGTTCCAGGGCCTAACCACTCTCCCTGTAAAGAACTTCCCCCTAACATCCAACCTAAATCTTCCCTCCTTCAACTTGGATCCATTTCCCCTAGTCCTGCTGTTGTCAGCCCTTTTGAAGAGTTTACTCCCCTCCTGGGTGTAGGTTCCCTTCAGGTATTGATAGGCTGCAATGAGGTCACCCCGCAGCCTTCTCTTCTCCAGGCTGAACAAGCCCAACTCCCTCAGCCTGTCCTCATAGGGGAGGTGCTCCAGCCCCCTGATCATCTTAGTTGCCCTCCTCTGGACCCTTTCCAAAATCTCAATGTCTTTCTTGTACTGAGGGCTCCACACCTGGACACAGTACTCCAGATGGGGCCTCACAAGAGCTGAGTAGAGAGGGACAATCACCTCCCTGTCCCTGCTGGCCACCCCTCTCCTGATGGAGCCCAGGATCCCATTTGCCTTTCGATATTTTTCAGATATTTCTTTCAGATATTAAGAAAAGTGTCTACAGACCTTTTTGAAAGGACACTAGCTAACACTCAGATTTTGCTAGCCCTCCTGTGGTGCCTGGGGGGCAGTGGGAACAAGAAGGTGGTTCTCACAAGGTTCAGTTCAAGTCTGTGGTAGCTTTTTCTGTCTTCTGCCTCCATGGTAACTTGAGCCAGAATGCTGTGCCTGGTGAATGGAATGGAGAAAAGATTACCAGGGGTCTCACAGAAAAGGACTCTATATGAGATGTTTCCTGTGTAAAACTTACAGAGAAAAAAAAAGGGGGGGGGGGGGGCGGCGCGTGTGAAAGGAAGAACAAGAGTGGGAAAAAGGAAAGATGTTTCAGAAAGCAGAAATCCAAAGACAGTTTCTTATGGAAAACACAAAGGTGTTTCCCGATCCCATTTCTGTCACCTCTGAAATTAGCAAGGTGCCTTCAAAGGTCAGCTTTATTAAATAGCTTAAATGAAGGTTGGGATCTGCTCTCATCCTGCAAATCTGGGAGTTTGGCTAGTAGAAAAGCAAAAAGGAAATGCAAACATTGTCCAAGGATTGACTGTGAGCAGACTCATCAAATATGTGTTTTAATACCAATAGATGATACAGTGTATTTCCTTTGCTGAATGTGGATTGCTGAATTATGTTGATTACATTTTGCTGCATGTTTCAAAGGGTTTAAGGTGAAAAAGAGTTGAACGATATAATTTAGACTTGATATACAGTGAAAATGCTTTTAAAAAAAATACTATAAAGATATAATTTTCTTCACAGCTAGGCCTGCAATGAAACAAAGATGACTTTTGCAAAAGAAAACGCAAAACACTCAGATCTAATAGACTTTGAGCTGCCACTACTGAATGCTTCTGTAACAATGTAAAATGAAAATTAAAGTACATGCAATGAGATGCATGCAAAATACATGCAATAAAAGCTGTGAAATATTTCATACATTGATGCAGTTCGTTTGTTCATTGCCATTACATTTCTCTATGAGTTTTAGAAGACAATCATCAGTGAAAACATTTCTAATGAGACTCATGTTCATGAGAAGTGTTAAAATTGTCATCAGAATAATATTTATACTAAGCGAGGTGTTTATATGAGGTCCAGACTTCAGTCTGGATCAAGTTCAGAAAATTTTTATGCTGTTTCAGGGCTACAGAAAGACAGACTTGGGACAATGACAGAGCCCCAGAGAAACAGGGAAATGGGCTGAGCTGCCCTGCTTGGCACAGGCAGCCTGGCCAGCAACACAGAAACACAGAATGAACACGTTTTGTAGAAACAATAAGGAAAAGCCCCAGAGCACTTATCTCATAAGATTGTATGCTTTAGGGGAAGAAAAAAAAGATAGATTCTGATTCATTTCACTTCATGAAATATCACTGTAGTACAGAATAAGTTGTAAATAAACAGGATGAAGTAGCATCTCCTTGACCTTCTTGAAACTTAAGATCTGAATATGTGATTTAAATGTCTGCAGGAACTATTAATGCCTACTATTATGTGCTACAGATGCAAAGCTGTTATTTTTTCTATTCTTCTTACTACTCAATTGAGAAGCAAGGACTGTATCTTTTTCTAATAATTTCCTGCTGCTGACAGATTGCTTACGGTTTGTTCTTAATTAACCACAAATGACTGTAATCAGTGGCAAAGTTCAGAACTGCAGTAAGTGAGCCTTTTGTGAATGTATTTTTAAATTAATTCACTGTGGTTTGTTTTCAATGCTAAACTTTGCAAAAATGTAGAAAGCAAAAGAGCTTATGTATGCTCTTGAAGAAATAAAGTGTCAAATCACTGCAAGTGAACATTTAAAATGAAGAAATAGTAAAGTTTCTACATATTTACTTAATTTCTAAACCTAGAAAATAAATATGAATGCCAATTATAAATACTGTGTAAACCAAACAGACTATTGCACTAGGATCAGACTGTCACTGGGCTTCTAGAAGGTCTGTGTATTCCTGTGTAGGAAAAGCAGACTCAACTATAGAAGAACCTTAATGGTGTGGTTTAATTGCTTTAACAGGTGGGCTTATAACAAGCACTCTGTATGCCTATGTGGTAAGTTGACCTGTCTGGACACTGGATGCCCAGCGAGCCACTCATTCACTCCTTCTCCTCAGCAGGACAAGGAGAAAAAACTTAAGGGTTGATATATGGGCAGGGAGATCACTCATCAGCGACTGCCTTGGACAAAGAAACTCAATCTGGGGAAGATTAATTTATTCTCAATTAAAAAGAGAATAGGATGGTAAGAAATACAACAAAGCTAAAACCACTTTTCCCTACCCTCCTTCTTCCCAGGCACAGCATCACTCCTGACTGCTCTACTTCCTTCATGGGGAGCATCATGGTGGGTTTGGGAAAGTAGACTGAGGACGGTTGGCAACACTCCAACTCTCCAGCTCCTTCCTCATCACATTCTTCCCCCACTCAAGCATGGGGTTCCCCCCACGGGATGCAATCCTTCTTTGCAATATGCTGTATTTCTTCAGTAACTGCTCCAACATGAGTCCATGCGACAAGGGTCATTCTTCAGGGATGGACTGCTCCAGTACGGGTCTCCCATGGGCTACAACTCTTGCCAGACATTCTATTCCTGCGTGGGCTTGTCTCCAGCTCCTGCCATGAGCCTGCTCTGCCACGGGCCTCCTCCAGGTCGCATCCACTGCTGCCCCATGGGCTCTTCCAGCCTGTTCCTCTGCAGGCCTCTCGTGGGCTGCAGGAAACCTTTGCTCTGTCACCTGGAGCATTTCCTCTCCCTCATACTTCAATGACTTTGGTGTCTGCAGATTTACTTCTATCATATTTTTCTCACTCTTTTTCACAGCTGCTACGCAACACTTTATATATTTTCTGAAATACGCTATCACAGAGATGTCATCTGCATGCCTGATGGCCTCAGCTTTGGGCAGTGGCAGATTCCCTTTGAGCTGGCTCCTGGTCCTTTCTTACAAAGGCCTCCCCTGCAAGCATTTGCTACCAAAACTTTGCCGTATAAACCCCAAATAATCTATCAGGTTTAGATAGAGATATAAATCTAGAACCATGAATAATGCTACAAAAATCAGAAGAGGATGTAAAAATCAGAATTAGACGCAATGAAGTATTTTCTAAACCAGCAAAACAATGGAGGCTGCATTACTAAGCCACTTGGAATCATCTAAAATGTGTATATAATTAGAAAGAAACAGTACGGTCTGTGTTGCAGTTCTGAGTAGCATGCAACTAAGAAATGAAAAGGACTAAGAAAAAATTCATTACAACAGAGAAAATACTTGGAGAGCTGAAAAAAAAACAACAAAACCAACAACAAAACTAACTGTTCTTTTCATTCTCCATTTCTGAAGGTCTTCATGCAGTTCATTGGCATCAACGAGACCTGGCTAGAAACCTCCACTAAGAATGAGGTATTAAGCAGGTAATTATCACATATATATGCTAGTGTAAACTTAAATGAAAGGTATTCAATGTTTGCTTCCTGAGATACATTAACAAACTTTGGACATGCTAACCAACAATTAGTGCGTATTTTCTTTTCAGTACCTTAATGTGAAATGATGATAAAGTTTTGCAGTCTAAACAAACTCACAGCAAAATTCTCAATTATTCACAATGCTTTCATGCTGTTGTTCTACTTTTCAACATCCTCGTTTACACAGCACTTGTATAATGTAGCTCTCTCTGTGCACTTCTTTCTCCTCCAGAATCCCAAGTCACACTTATCTGTTAACACAACATCACAAATGAAAGTGAATGGAAAATCACATACAAAAAGTTTCAGCTATAAATATCTTTTTTATTTCTTTATTTTTTTTTAAGGATTTTGCTTAGGAAACTCTCCAGAACAACCAGCTGGTATTGCCAGTGGCTTAGAAAACTTAAATTGCATATATATTCAAATGAGGATCAACAGGGGTAAATATTACAGAATCCAAAGGTATTCTTTAGACTGATACCATCATAAGTAATCTTAATAAAAATGAATGCACATTTTGGAAAGGAAAAAAAAAAAAGACTAGTGTGTTAATAAGAATAGCCTTTGGCAAGGACAAGGTGTCTGAAACAACTCCATAACAAAATTCATGGAGTGTTTAATGAATCCTATGTTACTGTGATACATTGAAAAATGTACAGAAGTGCTAAATGGAGCTTGCTGCTGTCTTACAGATTTTGCCAATCTTCAGATATTAAGGATCTTGAAGACTGAGGAGAAGGACAGCTAAAGAAAATGTTTAAAAATGAAGTACACCAGCCAAACATCCATCATCTCACACTGCAGAGAACTGCTTCCTGACTGGCTTCTTTTCTGTGCTCACATCTTGAAAACTTTGTAGAAGCTGAAAGAAATGTCAGTATTAGAAAATAGGGTAATGCTGCATCATGCCTCACATGTTGTCACTCTGACCTGCACATACAATCTGCGTGCCACAATCTGGGCCACAATCTGGGCTTCTGGAGTTGCCAGCACTGAGCAAGGCTGTGGCCAGAGATGTTTTCCTGTCCTCTCCACAGTCTGATTCACCTTCCCAGAGCACAAAAACACAGCAGGTACACAGATGGCCACACCAGTGGACCAGGACTGCACTTTGCTGCTGGGTCACACACACCCTCACTGTCATAATTCATTCCCACACTCACAGCAGTGGGTCTCTCAATCCCTAGAGCTGACCCTCATTCTTTCCAGCTTCTGTGGCCATATCAGATGGCTGTATGCTGTGTTCCTCTTCATCCAATCTCCAGCTCCAAATTTGAGTACTTCCTTTGGTCTCCTCCTCCATGCTAGCTAGTCCAGATTGAATTTTGCCAGCAAATCACATACATGTGCACAGAGTATCCATTCTGAAAAAAATATACTTTATACTTGAAATAGCTTTGTATATGATTAACCAGATGTCCTCATGAAGCAGATGTCCTTGCATCCTGCTTACCCTCACATTCCATATATCCTTACACAGCGTACATCTCTGTGCTGACAACCTTCAGTTCAACAGTGGTATTCTTCCACTGCAGGCTCATCATGTTTAATGCATTACACCTGCTATTCATGAATATTTTACTATGTCATTTTTGTGAGTAGTAAGCGCTGCAAAGAAAGCCCAGAGGAAACTTGCAGCTGCAAAAATGCAAACTTCCTCTAACTGTTGTGGTTTTATACCTGTAACTCTGTGATAGAGATAATGCCTGAATTAATCTTTGCATTCATTCCTAAACCTTTCTGCTTACACTGCCTGCAAGGGTACTATGTCTGCTGGCAATCTTTGGGAATAGAGATCTTCCATTCCTTAATAATAGTTGTGTTCTTCAGATAAAAACAAAACAATATAAAGCAAAAGGAAAGCAGTGTGGCCAGCAGGTTGAGGGAGGTGGTCCTGCTCCTCTGTTCTGCACTGTGAGGCCTCACCTGGAGCTCTGTGTCCAGATTTGGAGTACAGGGGAGATATGGAGCTGTTGGAGCGCTTCCAGAGGAGGGCCACAAAAGTGATCTCAGTGTTGGAACACCTCCCTATGAGGACAGGCTGAGAGCTGGGACTGTGCAGCATGGAAAAGAGAAGGCTCTGGGGAAATCTGAGAGCAGCTTTTCAGAGTCTAAAGGGGGTCTGTAAGAAGGAAGGGGACTCCTTAGCAGGACCTGTGGTGATAGGACAAAGGGAAAGGGTTTCAAACAAAAGGAGAGGAGATTTAGATTAGGTGTAAGGAAGAAGTTTTTTATAATAAAGGTGGTGAAGCACTGGCACAGGTTGCCCAGAGGGATGGTGGGTGCCTCATCCCTGGAGACAATGTCATGCTAGACAGGACTCTGAGCACTGATGGAGCTGTGAGTGTCCCTGTTGGGGACATACAGCCCCAGGGGGTTGCACCAGATAGCCCTTCCAACTCAAACAGTTCTATGCCTCTATTCTATGAAAACAGACAGAAGGAACATCCTAACACATCTTTGACTAATGAAAATGAGTGCACTGCCACTAAATCTTACAGAGGGAGACTGACTGAGAGTGGGAGACTTTTGCTGTAAGATTTTCCACTCATTAGAATAAGGTTATTTTAAAGTTTCTGTTATAATTCAGTATTTTCACGACATTCCTCAAAGCTGGGGTTTGCAGTTAGCTATCCAAAGTTTTCTGCTCACTTCTTCTAATCCCTAGTCACTACATGCATTAATCCCAATTCTACTTTTGCATAAAGTCTGGCTGTCAGTTTGCACGTCCGTATAAGATTCACTTTATACAGAGGTTTTATGTTAAGATTTGCATATTAGTAAATTTAGTGTGAAAATATTTTCTTCTACCAGCAAAGGTTAGATTGAAAAGATCTACAACACAGTCAAAGCAGAAGATTTTATTCAGAGAGTGCCCGGGTATGCAGTGATTTTGCAACATTTACATATTTAAATTAGACTAAAAAAATGATCCACAACATTTATACTCTCAACTTGCAAATATGGAAATAAACATGAACATAGAAGCAAACTGCTTCTGCCTTCAAGGAGTTTTACATTTGCATCCCTAATATTCCACATATTTCTAGCAGAAAATCAAACCCCTATCTGTACATTAAAAAGTAGAAATATAAATAAAAATAAATATATGTATATATGTGTCTGTTTATATATGCATTAGTTAGAAACATTTTTAATGACCTTCAGCAAGACAATTTTTACACAGATATTTAAACAGAGATGCAAAATGTGCCAGCATAAATGTAATGCCGAGCTGCTTCACAGTTAATACTTGCATACAAATAATTGGGTAGCTCCTAAGCAGCATATTTCTTGGAACTTTTTAAGTACAGTAATGTGGCCAGTAACATTAGGCTATGAAAATGGATCACTACAAGCTAACTCAGATTTGGTCTGATTTCATGGCAAATCTTTCAAATATAATATTAGGATGATACTTCTGTGGGGGAGAGCACAGAGGGAAATCCATTAGAAATTTAAAATGTCATTTGAAAAGGACATTAACTTCCACTCTGTTGCACCCCCTTCACCCTCAGAAACAAAACAAATCAAAACAAACACACAAATAAGATAGATCAGCAATCTGTACTTGTTGACATAAATGAAAAAGATTGTTTCCCCATCCTTCCATGAAGGTTATACCAGTTCACGCTAATCAAAATGATAGCATATTAAATTTTGGTTTGTGCCAATATTTTTTTTTATCATTATATAAACTCACTTGGGTGCTAAAATAATCACAAAGCCTCGATTCTGCTATTGTGCTGAGCCAAACTCTCAACCCAAAAAACACCTAAGAACCTAAAAGAACTTAGAGGCTGCATGTCAAGCTACTTTTGCTAAAAATACAATTGTAAAAAGAAATTGAAAATGAAGGATAATCATCTTATGTTTACATGGCACCGTAGGGAATCAGTCATCTAAACTATCAGACCCTCTGGCATAGAGTACAAGAGAAGCTGCTAATTAACAGTAGTTGGATATTAATCACACTGTTCCCCTCTTCATTCACTCTGCTAAGTGCTTGAACTACAAGTGCTCTTCTTGGATTGAGAAGAGCAGCTGTCTCTACTCCTATGTATTCAATTAGACAGATGTGAGAAAGATTTTGCAACTCATATATTTGTGTGAAAAAAGGTCCTGTTGTTACCATCTCGATCTTCAGACCGATGCCTTGTGAAGGCTCATCCTGGCACTAAAACAAGAATGCTCAACCATTCCCAAGCACAGCGCCCTATAAATTAATTATAGTTAGATGTGAGTAATGAATATAAGAAAAAAACCATAAAACTATGACTAGCTCTTAGCTGATCATTCAAGTGTATTAGGCTTATGATAGGCAAGCTTATAAAAAGGTTACCTTAATACAGTGAAAACTCTAATCGAATGCTAGATATTATCAGGGAAGAAAGATAGAACGAAATTAAGTTTGCAATGGATTAAAACTAAGTATTTTCTTAAGCTTTATCACAGACTCACAAAACTGCTGAGGTTGGAAGTCACCTCTGGAAATGATCCCGTCCAAATGCCTGCTCAGGAAGGGTCAGCAAGAGCACAGTGCCTAGGAGTGCAAAAATAAAAATGTACTTTGTAAAATATATACATAAAATAATATTACATTTAAATGGAATTTCCTGTGTTTGTGTTTATGTTCTTTGTTTCTTGTCCTGTCAATGGATGGCACTGAGAAGAGTTTGGCTTTGTCTCCATTTAGGTATTTTTACACACGAGTAGGATCCCCCTGAACCTTCTCTTCTCCAAACCGAATGGCCCTAGGTCTCACAACATCTCCTCCTACAGAAGGCATTCCAAGTCTTAATGATTTTCAGGGCCCTTCACTGGAAGTTATCTATAAGCCTGTATCTCTTGTCCTGCAGTCCAGTACCAGATGTACCACTCCAGGTGTGGTCTTGTCAGGATATTCCAGAATATTAAAAGGGCAGCAAGGATGATCAAGAATAGAAAATATTTCAAGCATAATCAAGATCAAGAATAGAAAATATTCAAGCATATTTCAAACATCAAAATGACTGGGACTTGTCAGTCTGGGAAGACACATTTGGGAGGATGAGAGATGATAAAGATCGGTAAAATTATGAGTGGCACCAAAAGTACCAAAAGGAGTGAGTTATCCCCAGTATTTTCCAATAAAATCATAAGTCATCCAACAGAAGTTCATAAGAGCCTTAAACAGGGCAAAAGAGGTCATTCATGCAGCTGGCAGCAGACCTGGTACTCCCTGTAGCATGATAATTGGTCTGCCACTTCGCCTGGGTTTAAGCACAACTGGAGAAGTCCAAGAGAGAAATACTTTACTGAGTACACAGATACCACAGCCCATCTAGAGAAGTTCCCTAGTTGAGACAGTTAATGTTTAGCACATGTTGAAACAATCACATATACTGCTATTCTACTTCTGTCTCATTCACGAGGAGGAACTTCTTTTCCAGTTCCTGAAGTTGGTTATAAATGTGCCAGTGAATAGACAGACTGTTCTTTTCACATTGCAAGGCCATTTCCTTGTTCATATGCCTTGTGAAATAGTTTGCAGCAATAGGGAGAATACTCAAGACCTTTATCTATTGCTGACATGCAGCAAATGATTGCTAGTCCACAGGAATGCTACTCAGCAGGTTAGGACAGGAACTGATGAATGGCTAATTAATTACAGTTAATAATCAGAATAAAAAACACCTCCTAGATTATGAAGTTAATAAATCTTACATGTTATGTTACTGACCTCATTAAACTCAAATTCAATAAAAGACAACTGTCTGTGGAAAGATCAACTTTCAAATGTGTTATCTCCTTTCTTCTTAGGATTAAGTTATTGTTTTAGTTCATACATAATGATTGCACAGGACAATTTGTTTAACTTTCACTGCATAAACATATTGCTGCTGTGTGCTGTGTGCTTTCAATTCTAGAAGTGAGCATTATATAAGCTACTAAAAGTGACAGCAGACATGAGCTAATTCCACATAAGCAAATGACAGAGCTGGAAATTTGTGAGAATGTGGTACATGTGTCCATGTCAACTCAACGTGTGGTGCCACAGCATCACTGTGCTGAACATAAAAAGAAGTACATTAAGTCTTTCAAAACTATTGTATAGAAATTGAACTTACAGTGCTTAAAATTTATCATATTCTTGCTTTTTCTTTATTTCATTCTCCTTCCTTTGTTCTGAAGGAGCATAACTTTTTACCCTGTGTTTGTAGTTGGTGTATCAAAAGGAACTTTGTTTCATTTTGTTTGACAAGTCTTCCCAATTTGCTATAAAGTTTGTTAACATAAACCTTGATATTCTTTAACAAGGGAATCTATTTGATCTCTCAGCATACATTTTTTTTTCTAATCCACTTCCAGAGAAACACAAGAATATTTCTTAGTTAAAAGTTCAGTACTTTCAAGATATCCACTGGCACAGATCTATCTCTCAATTACTGATGCCATTAAAACATACATTGAAAACATACTTTGACCTTTCAAGAAAAGGACTTCAAAATCATCTTCTGCCACCTAGAAGTCTGTGTTGGAAAAGAAGAA